TAGGAGGGGGTTTTGTAGGGCGCGGCGTATGGGAGGGAGGAGAGAGTGAGCGAGGGGGCGGGTGGGGGTCCATGTCTCCCAACCACACCAAGATTACTCACCAGTTCTCGCCAACGTCGGTTTGAAAATTAACTGTTGCGGCAGCTAAACGTCAGCCTCACCCTCCCCCAAGCAGCAACGCCAAGCTTAGATTTCTTCCTTACTCGTTATAGCTGTGTATCTGATGACGAGTGTTCATTGCGATCTGTTTGGTTTTGTATTTAGCTGTGGTTCAATAACTGCTCGATGTATAGCTGTTTATTGTTCATTTAGCTTTTATGAGTTGATATATAGCTTTCTTTCTTGTTCACTTAGCTGTATACGAGTCGATGAACAGCTTATTGAGGTTTTGTGTGTAGCTGTGGCTGAATAACCTTCTCGTTGATTTAGCTTTAACTACTGCACTGTCCACTTAGCATTGATGTCAACTATAATCAAATGATGAATAATTACTATATTATTAACTTAGCTTTGGTGTACAAAAAACGGGTTAAACTGCAAACTTTAGCCCCTAATTTAGCTGTAGTTTATAAAAAAATAACAATAATAATTTATATATTTGTTACCTTGTGGTGACATGTGACTGAACGACATTAATGTTATATGAAGTTAAATAATAAGCTTGGTTCGAGTCATGAGTTAGCTTTAACAGTCATACGTGTAATATAAAAGCGACGCTCTACAAGGTAATAACAGTGCTGGCTCACAATAATGATACACCATTTATCATCAATATTACTAACACATTACATGAAAGACTTATTGTTCAAATACTTGTTTACCTTATACCTGCACTGTATATACCTGTACTATGTATACCTGCACTGTATATACCTGTACTGTCTATACCTGTACTGTATATACCTGTACTGTCTATACCTGTACTGTATATACATTGTATACCTGCACTGTATATACCTGTACTGTATATACCTGTACTGTCTATACCTGTACTGTATATACATTGTATACCTGCACTGTATATACCTGTACTGTCTATACCTGCACTGTATATACCTGTACTGTCTATACCTGCACTGTATATACCTGTACTGTCTATACCTGTACTGTATATACCTGTACTGTCTATACCTGTACTGTATATACATTGTATACCTGCACTGTATATACCTGTACTGTCTATACCTGCACTGTATATACCTGTACTGTATATACATTGTATACCCGCACTGTATATACCTGTACTGTATATACCTGTACTGTGTATACCTGCACTGTATATACCTGCACTGTATATACCTGTACTGTCTATACCTGTACCGTATATATACATTGTATACCTGCACTGTATATACCTGCACTGTATATACCTGTACTGTCTATACCTGTACTGTATACATTGTATACCTGCACTGTATATACTGCACTGTATGTACCTGTACTATACCTGTACTGTATATACACATTGTATACCTGCACTGTATATACCTGCACTGTATATGTACCTGCACTATATACCTGTACTGTCTATATAAATTGTTTGTATACCTGCACTGTATATACCTGTACTGTATATACCTGTACTGTATATACATTGTATACCTGCACTGTATATACCTGCACTGTATATACCTGCACTGTATATACCTGTACTGTCTATATAAATTGTTTGTATACCTGCACTGTATATACCTGTACTGTCTATATACATTGTATACCTGTACTGTCTATATACATTGTATACCTGTACTGTCTATATACATTGTATACCTGTACTGTCTATATACATTGTTTGTATACCTGTACTGTATATACCTGCACTGTATATACCTGCACTGTATATACCTGCACTGTATATACCTGCACTGTATATACCTGCACTGTATATACCTGCACTGTATATACCTGCACTGTATATACCTGTACTGTATATACCTGTACTGTCTATATAAATTGTTTGTATACCTGCACTGTATATACCTGTACTGTCTATATACATTGTATACCTGTACTGTCTATATACATTGTATACCTGTACTGTCTATATACATTGTATACCTGTACTGTCTATATACATTGTTTGTATACCTGTACTGTATATACCTGCACTGTATATACCTGCACTGTATATACCTGCACTGTATATACCTGCACTGTATATACCTGCACTGTATATACCTGCACTGTATATACCTGCACTGTATATACCTGTACTGTATATACCTGTACTGTCTATATAAATTGTTTGTATACCTGCACTGTATATACCTGTACTGTCTATATACATTGCATACCTGTACTGTCTATATACATTGTATACCTGTACTGTCTATATACATTGTATACCTGTACTGTCTATATACATTGTATACCTGTACTGTCTATATACATTGTATACCTGTACTGTCTATATACATTGTATACCTGTACTGTGTATATACATTGTATACCTGTACTGTCTATATACATTGTATACCTGTGCTGTCTATATACATTGTATACCTGTACTGTCTATATACATTGTATACCTGTACTGTCTATATACATTGTTTGTATACCTGTACTGTCTATATAAATTGTTTGTATACCTGCACTGTATATACCTGTACTGTCTATATACATTGCATACCTGTACTGTCTATATACATTGTATACCTGTACTGTCTATATACATTGTTTGTATACCTGTACTGTCTATATACATTGTATACCTGTACTGTGTATATACATTGTATACCTGTACTGTCTATATACATTATTTGTATACCTGTGCTGTCTATATACATTGTATACCTGTACTGTCTATATACATTGTATACCTGTGCTGTCTATATACATTGTATACCTGTACTGTATATATACATTGTATACCTGTACTGTCTATATACATTATTTGTATACCTGTACTGTCTATATACATTGTATACCTTTACTGTCTATATACATTGTATACCTTTACTGTCTATATACATTGTATACCTGTACTGTCTATATAAATTGTTTGTATACCTGTAATGTCTATATACATTGTATACCTATACTGTCTATATACATTGTATACCTTTACTGTCTATATACATTGTATACCTGTACTGTCTATATACATTGTATACCTGTACTGTCTATATACATTGTATACCTTTACTGTCTATATACATTGTATACCTGTACTGTCTATATAAATTGTTTGTATACCTGTAATGTCTATATACATTGTATACCTATACTGTCTATATACATTGTATACCTTTACTGTCTATATACATTGTATACCTCTACTGTCTATATAAATTGTTTGTATACCTGTAATGTCTATATACATTGTATACCTATACTGTCTATATACATTGTATACCTTTACTGTCTATATACATTGTATACCTCTACTGTCTATATAAATTGTTTGTATACCTGTAATGTCTATATACATTGTATACCTGTACTGTCTATATACATTGTATACCTCTACTGTCTATATACATTGCATACCTGTACTGTCTATATACATTGTATACCTGTACTGTCTATATACATTGTATACCTGTACTGTCTGTATACATTGTTTGTACACCTGCACTGTCTACAGTATGTACATTGTTTGTATACCTGTACTGTGTATACACAGTACAGCGTTTGTATACCTGTAGTCTTAATACATTGTTTGTATACATGTACTGTCTATATACATTGTATACCTGTACTGTCTATATACAGTACATCGTTAGTATACCTGTAGTCTTAATACATTGTTTGTACACCTGTAGTAATAATAAAGAGACTGAACTAAATGTTAGTACTACAGTATTTCATTTACAACAACAGACTGTGACGAAGTATTAATATAAACATGAGTCAGATGTTGACTTAACAAGAGTATAAAAATAGTGTGTGTCTGTTTAGTTTAACTCCGCCACATTATTTATGTTTCGTCAGCTCATAAATATTGGTCACCCAAGCTAATTTTACCTGATGTTCAAACAGCCTAACCTACCACTAACCTAACTCTAACCAAACCAAACCTAAGCTAACCTAATTCTAACCTAACCTAACCTAAGCTAACCTAATTCTAACCTAACCTAACCTAAGCTAACCTAATTCTAACCTACCCTAACCTAACCAAACCAAACCTAAGCTAACCTAATTCTAACCTACCCTAACCAAACCTAAGCTAACCTAATTCTAACCTAACCTAACCTAAGCTAACCTAATTCTAACCTAACCTAACCTAACCTAAGCTAACCTAATTCTAACCTACCCTAACCTAACCAAACCAAACCTAAGCTAACCTAATTCTAACCTACCCTAACCAAACCTAAGCTAACCTAATTCTAACCTACCCTAACCTAAGCTAACCTAATTCTAACCTACCCTAACCTAACCTAACCTAACCTAAACTAGGGTGAACTAATCTTCATATGACACCCCCCAAAGGACATTAGTGGCGACCCTCTCCTTAACCTTTACCGCCTCCTGTAGTGTCATTCACCTCAGAACTGTTGTTGAAGTTAATAATATAAACAGTAATAGTTGTATTAAGTATGGGAAGATATCTGAATTTTTTTAACGATGTATTTTATTGTTGTTTTGATTATGTGGTGAAAGACATGTGGTTGTTGTTGTTGTTGTTGTTGTGTAGTTTATGGGAGAACCATTGGTGACATTTCCTGATGATTCGCTCTCCAGCTTATTTCACCAGAATATTAATCACTTATGCTAACCTAACCTAACCTAACTTGACCCTAACTTAACCCTATACTCCGACAATTTATACACTAAACAATAATTTCTAAGAATAATAACATTTACTTACACATCTTTTTCGAATTTAATTTTCTCGTCTTTTTTTTTACGAAATATTGGAAATAAAATGTTTGATAGTAACATACATACATACATACATACATACATACATACATACATACATACATACATACATACATTCATATGGAGGTTCTTTTATAATTATATGTCATCAAGTTGGAGGCAGCTGTGTTGACGATATGCATGTGCAGTTAAGGTATACATAGGAGGGCCCGGGGAGCGCACGTATGTATATATGTATGTATGTACTGGATTGATTACCTCACGAATTTTCTAATCCTTAGTAATACACACACACACACACACACACCCACACACACACACACACACACACACACACATAAGTTTTAACCTCATGAGCATAGGATACACACACATATACGTACATACATACACAAGTTAAGCTCATGAACACACACACACACAAGATAGCCAGCAAATATTTACACAATAATCGTTCAGTCACTCACCAAATATTTAAGACAGTTCTCATCCCCTCTCTAATACACTACCTCATGAGCTATTTTACATCAGCATTACAGAATATTTACACAATAATCGTTCAGTCACTCACCAAATATTTAAGACAGTTCTCATCCCCTCTCTAATACACTACACTATTTTTCAGCATTACAGAATATTAAAACACCGGATTATATTTTATAATTTATCCGTATATCCCAGGGTGCCACAGGGTCAGGTCCCCCAGGGTGCCACAGGGTCAGGTCCCCCAGGGTGCCACAGGGTCAGGTCCCCAGGGTGCCACAGGGTCAGATCCCTATAGGGTGCCACAGGGTCAGGTCCCCCAGGGTGCCACAGGGTCAGATCCCAGGGTGCCACAGGGATCCCCAGCCACAAGGGTCCAGGTCCCCAGGGTGCCACAGGGTCAGATCTGGGGTGCCACAGGTCAGTCCCCCAGGTGCCAGGGTGAGTCAGATTCCCCCAAGTGCCACAGGGTCAGGTCCCCAGAGATTGCCACCATTCTGGGGTGCCACAGGGGTCAGGTCCCCAGGGTGCCACAGGGTCAGATCTCCAGGGTGCCACAGGGTCAGGTCCCCCAGGGTGCCACAGGTCAGGTTCCCCAGGGTGCCACAGGTCAGATGATCCCAGGGTGCCACAGGTCAGGTCCCCCAGGGTGTGCAGGGTCAGACTCCCAGGGTGCCACAGGTCAGGGTCCCCCCAGGGTGCCCTGAGTCAGATCCCCCTGGTCAGGCCACAGGGGTCCCCCAGGGTGCCACCCAGGTCCCCCAGGTGCCACAGGGTCAGATCCCCCAGGGTGCCACAGGGTCAGGTCCCCAGGGTGCCAGGGTGCCACAGGGTCCCCCAGGGTGCCACAGTCCAGGGTGCCACAGGGTCAGGTCCCCAGGGTGCCACAGGGTCAGGTCCCCCAGGGTGCCACACAGGGTCAGGTCCAGGTCCCCAGGGTGCCACAGGGTCCAGATCCCCAGGGTGCCACAGGGTCAGGTCCCCAGGGTGCCACAGAGTCAGATTCCCCAGGGTGCCACAGGGTCAGGTCCCCAGGGTGCACACAGGTCAGATCCAGGGTGCCACAGGGTCAGGTCCCCAGGGTGCCACAGGGTCAGATCCTCCAGGGTGCCACAGGGTCAGGTCCCCAGGGTGCCACAGGGTCAGATTCCCCCACAGGGTTCCCCCAGGGTGCCACAGGGTCAGGTCCCCCCAGGGTGCCACAGGTCCAGGTCCCCAGGGGTGTCGATCCCCAGGGTGCCACAGGGGTCAGGTCCCCCAGGGTGCCACAGGGTCAGGTCCCCAGGGTGCCACAGGTCAGGTCCCCAGGGTGCCACAGGGTCAGGTCTCCCAGGGTGCCACAGGGTCAGGTCCCCCAGGGTGCCACAAGGTCAGGTCCCCCAGGGTGACACAGGGTCAGGTCCCCCAGGGTGCCACATTATCAAAAAAATACGTATTATCGGTTCATGGAAATAATAGAGACTCGATTTCCTGATTTTGGGGAGAGAAATTTACAAAAAAAAATCCAGAATATAGTTATTAGGCCACCTAACGTGACCTAAAGTGACCTGAACTGACCTGATGCATCAACTATCAGGAAAACAGGTAGTATCACGCCACCCCCCCCCCCTACAAGGTGTGTCGATAATGGTACCTGGGATTCAACTTAAGACGCCAACTACTCGACACATAGTACACGTCTGTTGGTCGATCGCTATTTGATACTACCACAACGTGTTCATGAGTTAATGTGAAGCAAATTGGGTGACGTTACCTCATAATGGTAGGTGATAAATGACGTCCTCCTCCCTTACCCCCTCTCTCTCTCTCTCTCTTCCTTACCTCCCTGTCTACAGCCTCACTCCTCCCTCCCCTATCTCCCCCTCCTCCCCCACCCCCGTCCCCCCCATAAAGAGGCTACACGTGTATATGTTTTTTTTATTCCTATCTCGATTATGTAATGATTTACATAACGCGCATGGGAGATTACACCCTCCCTCCCTCCCCCTTTCTCTCACTTCTCTTCCTCCTCACCCCTACCCTTCTACTACCCCCCTCCATAGTCACAGGTGTACGAGCAAACACGATCATATCTCCCTCCTCTCCCTCCCCCTTCCCTGCCTCCTCTCCCTTGCCTCCCTCCCTCTCCCTCCTCTCCCTTGCCTCCCTCCCTCCCCTCACCTCTCACTTCATAAGCCATGACCCACCATGAAACGAGAAAATCTTTGGAAGCGTGTGTGTGTTCCTAGTCCTCTTGGTCCCTGTTCACCTGGCAGTAATGTAGGTACTGTACCTGCTGCAAATCGAAAGTTGCGAATTCGTATTCAGGGACAAGTTGTTGGAGCTTCCAATAACTTGATGACATAAACCATTGACTCTTCAGGCTTCTACGCCCTTGACTCATGAGACATAAAGGCAAGCATGAACTTAGCATGCTTCCCTGTTGGGCGCTGTAAACGCTTCTGCGCTTCACCTTACACAAGGATGTAGGGGGGTGCCCAATAAAAAAAAAGTGTGTATGTGTGTGTGTGTGTTTGTAATAATGATAATAATAATAATTTATAATTTATTAACAGCCGTCATAAGCTGAAAACATACAAATGACATAAGTTTTATATATCATGACAAGGGGGTAGTCGTTAACAAGGCGTGAAGACACACGTTATCTCCGAGTTGTTGATGATTCTTGCAATAGTTGGGGTGAGGGTGTTGTTGCAGCGATCAGTGCGGGGTCTTATGGGCTGGATGTGGACGAGGGATCTCAGGTGGCAGCAGGAGACGGTGATGAGGATGGTGTAGTAACTTCGTCCTGAACTGACAGATGAGGTCATGGTGATGATCAGAGAGAGTTGAGGCTTCCTAGGTGGTGTAGGAGGAGAGAGAATAGTCTTGCACGTCCTCTTCTGCACCTTCTCCAGGAGGCCTCGTGTGTAGCAGCTAAGGAGGAAGACCAGGCAGGGGAGGCATGAGTGACCTGAGAAGATATAACATGTATTTCACCCCCATACCCCCTCACCTAGCTCCCTCTCAAGATGGCGTCTATCTGTTCCTGAGACTTGACCTGAACAAGATGCCTTTACTAATATTTTCATTGAAGGGGAAACAAATTAACTACGAGTCTTGGAGTAGTTAACTATTTCCCGTTGTTAATGTAATGACATATTCGTTTATTTAATGACATGCTGGTTAGTGAAGTGTGGTAAGTGGTCAGTTAAGGAGGCTCGTTAACTCACTCACGTTGAGCCTAATGAAGTATAACTCGTGGTAATAAGGTAACCATATATCCCCCCTGTCACCTGCACTAAGTACCGTCAACACCTGTACCGTCAACACCTGTACCGTCAACAACTGTTCCGTCAACACCTGTACCGTCAACAACTGTTCCGTCAACACCTGTACCGTCAACAACTGTTCCGTCAACACCTGTACCGTCAACAACTGTTCCGTCAACACCTGTCAACACCTGTACCGTCAACACCTGTACCGTCAACAACTGTTCCGTCAACACCTGTACCACCGTCAACACCTGTACCGTCAACACCAACACCTGTACCGTCAACAACTGTTCCGTCAACACCTGTCAACACCTGTACCGTCACACCTGTACCGTCAACAACCTGTTCCGTCCGTCAACACCTGTACCGTCAACAACCGTCAACACGTCAACACCTTCAACACCTGTACCGTCAACACTGTACCGTCAACACCTGTACCGTCAACAACTGTTCCGTCAACACCTGTACCGTCAACACCTGTACCGTCAACACCTGTGTCAACCGTCAACACCTGTACCGTCAACAACCCGTCAACACGTACCGTCAACACCTGTACCAACACCTGTACCGTCAACTGTTCCGTCAACACCTGTACACGTCAACAACCGTACCGTCAACACCCTGTACCGTCAACACCTGTACCAAATCAACACCTGTACCGTCAACAACCTGTTCCGTCAACACCTGTACCGTCCAACACCTGTACCGTCCAACACCTGTACCGTCAACAACTGTTCCGTCAACACCTGTACCGTCAACACCTGTGCGTCAACACAAATAACAACACCTGTACTGTACCTCAACCACCTCAACACCTGTGCCGTCAACAACTGTTGTCAACACCTGTACCCAAACAACCCGTCAACAACTGTTCCGGTCAACATCTGTACCGTCAACAACTGTTCGGTCAACACCTGTACCAACACTGTCAACCTTCCGTCAACAACTGTTCCGTCAACACCTGTACCGTCAACAACTGTGTACCGTCACAACTGTACCGTCAACACCTGTACCGTCAACAACCGTACTGTACAACAAACAACTGTTCCGTCAACAACTGTACCTTCAACAACTGTTCCGTCAACACCTGTACCGTCAACACTTGTACCGTCAACACCTGTACCGTCGACACCTGTACCGTCGACACCTGTACCGTCGAGTACCGTCACACTGGTCAACACCTGTACCGTCAACAACTGTTCCGTCAACAACTGTAACAAACTGTACCTTCAACAACTGTTCCGTCAACACCTGTACCGTCAACACCTGTACCGTCGACAACCTGTACCGTCGACACCTGTACCGTCAACAACTGTTCCGTCGACACCTGTACCGTCGACACCTGTACCGTCGACACCTGTACCGTCGACACCTGTACTGTCGCCCATCACTTTACAGAATATATTAATTTTTGGCTGAACGTATTTTAACTGATGATTACTTTTAAATGAGATCTTAATATTCACACACACACACACACACACACACACACACACACACACACACACACACACACACACATACGTACTGTACATACATACATACACATATATGCATACATACACGTACACACGAACACATACACACATACACATACAAATTTCACCTGGCCCAATCTATCTAACCTAACTCTTCTGGCGGTTAAGTTAAATATTTAATACAAATATGTTACATTTGTTAAATGTTTAGTTAAATATCAAATGCAGGTTAATAATGGTTGTGATTAGTTAGAATGTTAATTATTATTATTTTTTTAATTAGAAAGTTAAATATATGTTAAAAAAAATTTATGTTTAGTAAAATTGGTATAATAATTTCTTCGTTTAATGATGTTCATAATGGTTTGTCGTTTTCCCTTCTGCTTGACAGACAGACAGACAGACAGACAGACAGACAGACAGACAGACAGACACGATTATCAGCCACACTTAATTAAACATGAGATGAATACGGCACGTTTAACCCCGCTACAGTAGGCTACAGGTGTACTACGCTCCTCTCTCTCTCTCTCTCTCTCTCTCTCTCTCTCTCTCTCTCTCTCTCTGTCTCTCTCTCTCTCTCTCTCTCTCTCTAAGGTCGTGGGGGCGTGAGAAGCGAGTGTGTGTACAGGGAAGGGGAGGGGCAGAAAGAAGGAGGAGGAGGAGAGGATCTATAGTAGGAGGTGAAGGTTGGGGAGAGGAGGAGGGAATGGGGGGAGAGAAAGGATGGTTGTCTGCAGTTGCGCGCACGCCACCTCTCTCTCCTTCCCTCCTTTCTCTCCCTCTCTCTATCTCTTTCTCTCTCTCTCTCTCTCTCTCTCTCTCTCTCTCTCTCTCTCTTCTGTCTCACAGGCTCCACCCCCTCTCTCTTGTCTGACGTCACCCCCCTCTGTCTCTCACCCCCCCACTTCCCATAGCCCCTCTTCACTGGTCAGTTCTTCTCCGTCCCCCTCACCCCCTCCTTACCCATACACTGACGACCTCCCCCTCTCTCTCTCTCTCTCTCTCTCTCTCTCTCTCTCTCTCTCTCTCTATCTCTCTCACCAACTACAACAACACCGGGTTATGTATAAATCGGCATCATTGTATTATTGTATTTGACGAGTAATTGTATATATTTTGTATAAACTCATGAGGATAATTGAGCCCCAGAGTTAAGATAAATAGAGCCCAGAGAGACAGGAGGAAAATAGAACCCCAGAGTTAAAATAAAATAGAGCCTCAGAGACAGAAGGAAATAGAGCCCCAGAGATAGAGGAATATAGAGCCCCGGTATAAGATTGGTCAGGCCATAGTATACTTGGATCAGTCCCAAGTCGGCTGCTACGTTGTAACACAGGCACCGTCACCACTCCCCACCGCCACGCACACACGCCCACACACACACACACACACACGCCCACACACACACACACACACACACACACACACACACACACACACACACACACACACACACACGTACTACATTTTGCTTGTATAAAATTCAAACACAGACACAAACAATCACATATACAAACACACACACACACAGAAACACATACACACGCGAATGAACGTACAAACAGAAGGACTTGAACAAACACCGAGAGAGAGAGAGAGAGAGAGAGACAGTGTGGGTCTTAACACGCAACAGACATACACTAAATACCATAC